TATATATATATATATATATATATGTGTGTGTGTGTGTGTGTGTGTGTGTGTGTGTGTGTGTTTGTGTGTGTGTGTGTGTTCTTAGAAAGCCATATGTGGTGTCCTATTAATTGAAAGAAGCATTAAAAGCATGAGCCTGATCTTAGCATTACCTGTAGATAGGTATGGCTGAGACTCTTGTCCACACTGTAGCGTTTTCTCATCTTCACTTGGAGCAGGTTATTGATGAGGTCGATAGCTATGGAGAAATGGAGAGATCACACAAACAAAATCTGCATTGATTGAAGCTAAATGATTTACAGCAGCAGACAGCAAATCGAAGGCGGATGGAGCTACTCAACGATCAGCCTGCTTTTAATGCATCGGATTTCTTTTTGTTGTTATGAAGTAAATTTCCAGGAAGAGCCACGCAAAGTGTTCTCTACTCAGCTCTTTTAACTTTTCATATACTTCTATTCTCAATTTGATCTGACGTGTTATTGTACATTATGAACTTGTATTTAATTCGGTGTAATTTTACTGTGTTTGTACCTTCAGGAGAGATCTGTTTCCATGGGTTGGGTGGGTACATGAAGGCGGCATTGTGGATCTGATCATTGATGTCTTCGTCCTCGTTGAAGGGGAAAGTTCCACTCAGACTGACATACATGATCACACCTACAGACCACATGTCCAGAGAGCGATTGTAACCCTGGTTCAGCAGGACCTCGGGGGCCAAATAAGCTGGCGTGCCAACAACCGAACGGCGGAAAGACTTCTCTCCGATGATGCGAGCAAAACCAAAGTCACAAAGTTTCACCTATGAATATGCCGTGTGGGTGGGAAGAAGTGTTAAGAGTCAACAAAACGAGAAAAAAATGAGAAGTACAACCTAGCATTATGAAAAAAAGTATTCAAATATTAAAACTGCATTGCATTGAATTCTCTGACCTGTGGGAAAGGATCCGCTGATGCTAATAGCACGTTCTCAGGCTTGAGGTCACAGTGCACTATGTTTTTGAAGTGAAGGTGCCTCAGAGCAGCCAAAATCTAGAAAGAGAAGATATTGGTTCAACATAATGCCTTTAAAGGTGTAGCAAGGGATTTCTGAGAAACGCTGTTTGAAGTGGATCAGACCGAGCACCAAAACACACTTGCAGCCAATCACCAGTAAGGGGCGTGTCCACCCATGATGGTAGAGGTGCCTGTGTTGCATAGCATGTTTTGCATAGCAAATTTGAGGGTGGAGCTACCAAGCGTTTCTCAGAAATCACTTACTGCACATTTAAAGGCCCATTTACACTAAGCACGATAACTATATGATAAAAACTTTGACAGCCAATCAGAATCTACCTAGCATTAAAGAGCTTGAGCATTTAAAGCGGTAAAAGACAAAACTGCAGTGCACGCTTTCAACAAAAAAAAAAACAGGCTGCTAATATAGTTATCATAATAGTTGTCATTCTGGGTGCAAACAGGCCTTTAGAATGATTATGAAAATGTATAGCTATAGTTAACTTCGTAGTGATCGTATCTACTGTAGTATGAACAGGCCTTCATTTTATGAAAATAATGAACACCACAGCTATAACGATAATGACACAAAGAAACAATAACGATATTGTTGGAATCGCTTACAGAACTTTTTCCAGCGAGTGAACGATAAAAACATTGACAGCCAATCAGTACCCTCCTGATTTTAAAGAGCTTGTGCATTTATGTGCTAATAATAAACATGACACTAGTATAGTTATCGTTATAGTTATCTGCAACATAAAATGATAAATGAGAGTATATGAATAATCATGTACTAATACCTGAATTAAATATTACTTTAATGTGAACTAATAATGAGTTAAGGCATGCACTAATCAAGAACAATAATTACCACAAAGTGTTAATTAATATATTTGCTAACAGGTATGTACTAACATGTATAGTTAAGGTGGTCATTATTCACACATGAATTCATATGACTCATGCTGTTCTTTTCATTATTAGCATGTATTAACAGGTTTGAATGTCCTTGGTATGAATGGCCCTTAACCTCTAAGAAGCATGTTTTAAGCTCTAAACGTAGCGCTGACCTGCGTGATGAGGAACTTGGTGAGTCTCTCAGGAAGTCGTCCTTTCTCACTTGACAGTATCATTTCGAGCATGTCACCATGAAGTTTCTCCATCACCACAAACACCTTCTCAGGCGTCTCAAACATGCACTCGAGATTCACTATACCCAAATGTCGCAGGCTCTGGGAGAGGTTGAAAGGACAAGGTAAAGAGATGCGGTTGAGTGAGTCACGTTGTTGCTTATTTGCATGCATGAACTTATGTTAGGTCAGGTGTTCTCACAATCAGGAGGCACACAGCAGGTTTAATTGTGTTATATGTGTTCATTATCATTCAGTCAATACAATGTGATGAATCATTGATTCGCTATCGCCCCTTGCTGGTCACCTGCAATATGGCTACTTCATTCCTCAGCTGGCTCTCCTGCTTGGTGGGGAACCGAAGCTTGTCGATCACCTTCACGGCTACATCCCGGCCAGTTTTCCTGTGTTTTCCTGTGCGGGTTGAGGAAATGATAATGTGTGATCTTTTTGTAAATATCCATTCTTGCATATCATTAGTGGTGCTTGCTATTGCATATATTTAGGACAAGGGATATGAACAAGAAATCCATCTTTGGTGTGTTCACTCTTAAAAATAAAGGTTCCAAAAAGTGGATTTTTGTGGTGATGCCATTTTTGGTTCCCCAAAGAACAGTTCTTGAAAGAAACATTCTTTTTCTTAGTGTGAAGAACATTTTAATAATCTAATAAAAAAAATTCCACTATAAAGAACCTTCATGGAACCATCAATGCCAATAGGAATTTTTATTTTTAAGAATGTAACTTGTCCTGAATTGGACTTCAGTCTAGAATATAATAAGGTCTAAAGGGTGCAGCTGCTCTTTTGGCAACCATATAGCAACACCCTATGTTTAGAAATGGTCCAAATCTAGTTTTCAGTAACAGACATACCTCCATATACCACACCAAATTGTCCAGAGCCCAGAACCTCATCAGCAAAGATCTGGTACACCATTCCAATGTCCTGTTGGGTACATCATCATCATCATTTATTATTATCTTAATCGTTATCATGATCATATTTGTCATCATCATCACACTATGTGATATATTGCACCTTTAAAGGTCATGTTTACTCACCACGTTCTCCTGAATCTGACTGTTAGACACTGAGATGCTGACTGACGCCTGCCCTGAAAATCAATCAGATTAATAGCCACATTAGTGTTATACTTGTACTGTATGAGGGTCGATGACAAATAAGGATGATAATATTAAATTTAAAAAATCAAAGTTTCAATGTAAAAAAAAGGTAAAACTGCAAAGTTCTTAAAAATTTTAACTTTTGTCTTCATGTTGATATGAAACTCTTTTTTATTAATGACTTAATGACTTTTTGAAAATGTTTAATTAATTTTTATCAAGTACTGTATAACTATCAAATTAAAAGCACTAATATTGCATCTTAAAAAATCAAAGTTTCAATGTAAAAAAAAGGTAAAACTGCAAAGTTCTTAAAAATTTTAACTTTTGTCTTCATGTTGATATGAAACTCTTTTTTAATGTCTTTTTAATGACTTTTTGAAAATGTTTAATTAATTTTTATCAAGTACTGTATAACTATCAAATTAAAAGCACTAAAATACTTTTATTGCATCTATCTATCTATCTATCTATCTATCTATCTATCTATCTATCTATTTTTCCAAGAAAGTTCTAAAAAGATACTTTTCAATATTTTTTACATACATTTTCTTAGTGATTCATTTGAACCTATGCACCTATGCACTTTTAAATAAGAATAAAATATCTGATTTTTAAATTAATAAAATCACATAAAAATTACATTGATTGATTCATTGATTGATTGATTGGAAACAAGCTATAAGTACTGAAGTAACTAAATAAACTAAAACCAATAAATAAAGAATTCAAAAAATATTATAAGCAACATTTCTAAACTTTAACTGAAATTAAAGTGAAAACAGAAAATATAAAAATAACATCCATCCATCCATCCATCCATTCATTCATTCATGCATTCATTCGCTGATCCATTCATTCATCCATCCATCCATTTATTCATTAATTCGCTGATCCATTCGTTCATCCATCCATCCATTCATTCATTCATTCATTCGCTGATCCATTCATTCATCCATCCATCCATTCATCCATTCATTCATCCATCCATCCATTCATCCATTCATTCATCCATCCATACATTCATTAATTCATTTGCTGATCCATTCATCCATCCATCCATTCATTCATTCATTCATTCGCTGATCCATTCATTCATCCATCCATCCATTCATTCATTCATTCGCTGATCCATTCGTTCATCCATCCATCCATTCATCCATTCATTCGCTGATCCATTCATTCATCCATCCATCCATTCATTCGCTGATCCATTCGTTCATCCATCCATCCATTCATCCATTCATTCGCTGATCCATTCATTCATCCATCCATCCATCCATTCATTCATTCATTCGTTGATCCATCCGTTCATCCATCCATCCATTCATCCATTCATTCGCTGATCCATTCATTCATCCATCCATCCATCCATCCATCCATTCATTCATTCATTCGTTGATCCATCCATTCATTCATTCATTCATTCATTCATTCATTCATCATATTTTAAATAGCCCTTTTTTTAAATGACCATCAAATGAGCATCATATTATATCATCATATCATAGCATCATCATATATTCTATACATTTACTATAAATTCTCTAAATTAACTATAAACTATAAATTCTCCACATAATCAAGTGATTTGTTTAGGTTTCTTAACAGAGACATTATCCCTATACTGATTATGTATGCAGCATCACACCTTCCTTCCAGACTTAAGCTCACTTACGGTGAGGAGTGTGACCTTCTGCTGGAGGGTTGTCTTGGAAGATGACTGGCATGAGTGCTTGACGTATAACAGTCTCCCATCCTTTGGCGAACTCTCGCCCCACCCCGCTGTTTGGTGCAACACTACTGGGACTGGCTGAGATGGGCAGACCAGACACACTGGATGATGGGGACGGGGTGGTGTTGGGGTCCTCACCAACAAAGTAGATCATAGTACCCGTCATGATCTCAAAGCAATGGGGGCTTGTGCCAGGAGGGACGAGAGAGAAATCACCCGCCGGACGGACCTGCAGGATTTCTGAGAGCGGGATCTCCTGCGGAGGGAGACAAGGGGCACATTAGAACCTCAATCATGCAGACAATATGCGCAGAGGTTAATTTCAAAGCAGGTTGGGGGTTAATACCAATGTGAGTAGAGATAATTAACTGAAATGACACATCAAACCTGGTAATTTATACATGTGAAGTCACCCTAATGGCCAAATAGCTTGTGTAAACCATTCATAATGCATTATTTCATGAATCCAGAATATTCGTGCTTCATCTGTCACTGTGAACGCATAATGCATAATATAATGTGGCATTTCCACACACACATTAACTCCTTTTTCATGTGCAATTTATCTAACAATGTCTATAAACTATGGAAGCTTTTTTCCACCATGGGATAGAAAAAAAATATATAATAATAATAATTGAATATTAATTAAATGAAAAAATAATATATGTAAAAATAAAATTCTGATTTTTTTTCTTGCAATTATAAAAAATAGAGACAATTGCAAGATATAAGCTTAGAACTGTGAGATATACAAAAAAATATATTTTTTGTTCTTTAAATTCCAAGTTTACATCTCACAATTATTTTTTTCCTGCCCTGTAATAAAAAAATGTAAAAAGTAATTGTGACTTTTTTTATATCTCACAATTCTGAGTTTATATGTAGCAATTCTGAATTTACTTGTATATCTTACAATTATGACTTTTTCTCTGAATTGCAAGAATCACATCCTCACAATTCTGTTTTTGTTTCTCTCACAATTCAGATTTTTTTTTTCTCAGGATTGCAAGAAAGAAGTAGGAATTGTGAGATATAAACTCAGAATTGTCAGAATAAGAGTCAGAATTGTGAGATAAAAAGTCGCAATTACTATTTTTTTTCATCCCATGGCGGAAATGGGCTTCCATAATAAACAGTCTTTAAACAATAAAAGAAAGGGATATTCTACCTTGTAGTATTTGTTGGTGGTGTCGTTTTGAAACAGGATGATGCATTTGCAGTCAAGGCGCCAGTAGTGTTTCTTCCTCTGTTGGAGGGTGGGGTGACAGGTCAGAGGTCATAAGTCAACAAGGAGTTGGTGCTGGGGTCAGCTTCACCCCAACAGACAGGAGGAAGAAAGCGAAGGGTAAACAGAGCTGAAGAGAAGAGGAGGACGCAAGAGAAAAACCAGGAGGAAAGTTAGAAAGAAAAGGCTAAAGAGGAGTAAAATGCTACACAGAAATGCAGACGTTTTACAGGAGGCCGAGAACAGATCAATATATCTATGTTGAGAAAAAGCCTCAACCAAATGTTCCCAATTCTTTGTGAAAATACTTGACTAGAAGCAATATGAGTGACATTTACTGCTATTCATTCCTACAAATCAATATCCACTCCTGCAGGGGACGCTCAGAATAGCCTGTGATTTAAAAGCTGAAGATTTGCTAATATTATAGTGCAAGTGTGCAGATTGATTCAGAACACATACAGAAATATCAATAGGGTGTTTGGAAGTGAGGTAAGGATAGTGTATAGACTAGACAGAATAATCTGGCTTTGTTAAAGGAATAGTTCATGCAAAAATGTCTTCATTTACTCATCTTTCAATAGTTCAAAACCTGTAGAAGACTCAACTAAATGAATGATTTGTTTGTTTGTTTTTGAATGAATGAATGAATGAATGGTTCATACGACTAGCGCACTATATTACTATGCAGGACTATTATGGAGGGCCAAATTTACAGAAAATTAAACCATTAAATAAATATATAAATATTTAAATAAATCAATAAATGCATAATTAACGGTGGGGTATGCATTTTTTCAAAAACGCTTTAGAAAACTGACTCGGGCCGAGTACCAAAACAAACTTGTAGCCAATCAGCAGTAAGGGGCGTGTCTACTCATGATGTTGAGGAGAGAGCGCTCAGTGCACAGGATGGACATCAGCCGACTGAAAACGACTGCGGAACAAAATAAGGCTTACAATAAGGCAAGAAGTAGGACCCGTGTAAATATCGGATCAGCTTTCCAGCGCTGGAGAGAACTCAAGGGGTGGGAAGGCCTGCGATCGGATGCCGAGGTTGCTTTGTTTCTTCTTTTTAGCTGTCTACACTGGACGCAACAAAGCGACCGTTGAAAATCATTTGAAGTTTGAGTCAATACCTCATAAATAGAACGCAGCAGCAGTTTTCTGTCTGGGATTTGTCGTGCCGCGCCGCATCCATTGTAGACAGCATCATTGATTATAATGAGTTCTATAGTATTTTGTCGCGCATCTCGCGTCCGGTGTTGACACAGTGTAACTTTGATTTTGCTTTGTTTCACAGAATTAATAATTGCCTGGGTTCAACGCAGCAGCAGTTTTCTGTCTGGGATTTGTCGTGCCGCGCCGCATCCATTGTAGACAGCATCATTGATTATAATGAGTTCTATAGTATTTTGTCGCGCATCTCGCGTCCGGTGTTGACACAGTGTAACTTTGATTTTGCTTTGTTTCACAGAATTAATAATTGCCTGGGTTCATACGTATGTGTGAGGCGGAGCTATCAAAATAGGGGCGAGACCCTTTTGGGGTAGAAGCGTGTTTGTTTTGGTGATTTGAAATGTCAACATCGGCTACGAGAAATCACTTACCCCACCTTTAAACGTATTAAAATGAGATCGTTGTCAACGTGTTGGTTGCAAGAGTCAATAATAGATATGCATAGACTACAAGTGTCATTTGAAGTAATTAGGTAATAAATTAGCAATTTATAACGTAAAAAATGTAAATAGATAAATGACTTATCACACTGGCAAAAAGAGTGAGCAAATGAGGTTAGAATATTCATTTTTGGGTGAATTATCCCTTTCAGGTCAGCCAGCAGTCAGAGGAAGTACCAGTGTGTCCTTGTTGCTGTAGTGCACCATCCAGCCTTCCTTGATGGCTGTGCTAGAGCGACGTGTGGTCTGCCTGATCGACTGCACTACTCTCATCAGAGGAATATTAGCACTGCGGAAACATCACAGCACACAAGTCATAAATCATGAGATCATATAAGACAACCCAGGTGTGAGCAGACATAGAGGTACGGAGGCAGCTGCGTGCTGAATAAAAGCTATTCATACAAAGAGAGACACACCAATACAACATGAATTGCAAGTGTATCGTTTGCGAAAAGCTAATATCTTATTGGTCGTTTCGTTTTTTCACTGAGGGAAACTGAGCTACACTATGAGAATGCATAGTTGCAAATCAAATTTTCACACTTGATGTGAAGGCCTTGTACACCTTCTAATGTTGGTGTATACGATTTGTATAAGCCATAAAACCATCCCATGCTCATTGGAAATGCATAACTCTACCTACATTTCGGCAAAACCTGAAATACATTAGTCCAGGTATACATATTTCACTGCACTTTTCAGATAACACATCCACAAGAGGCATTTATCAGTGATATCACTTTTTCTTCACTGCAGATGCGGGTTTATAAGTAGCACAGTGTCATAAAAATAACATGTTTGTGGGTACAATATAGTTGCAAAATGATATTGCGCTTCTTGTAGCGTTTCACGGTAGTTTCAAAGCATATATGGTGTGTAATTTTATCAGTTTTCTCTTTTCTCAGTCATTAGATGTTTATTGTACATATCACGACATTTCAGAAATAGCATACCACCAACACTAAACAAAACAAAACAAAACGTGATAAAATGTGAAATAAAAACACATTTGCTGAAGCAACCGTGCCATTTTAGCTTCTGTATGCAAGGCTTTGAGCTCTTTTGTGGAGTGTCATGACTCGTGTTTCACGGACTCGTACCAGGGCGCTCTTTATCGCAAATGCAACGCACTACCGGGTGAGCTATCGAGCAAGTTTACTATGTCAGAAAAGCCATATATATGGAGCTGGTTATGTAATGCAAACAATACAATGTATTATATTATAAGTGACAAACTATGGTAAACGTGTTTTGAGGTCATAACAGTGATGTTCAAGGAACCATGTAAAAATAAGCCTTTATTCAATCTGCCCCTTAATCATAATTTGTGCGAAAAGGAACAAAAGTAGTTGCTGTTTTATTGTCGCTAGTGTTCATTTCAGCTAAAAACTCTAGTGAAATGTATACGTACATAGGTACATTTTTGCATAAATGTATGCAGTCTCGTATTTCCAATGGGCCTGAGTTGCATAAAACTATATTATTTGTCTTTCCAATTTTGTGTTTACTGTGACTAGGCCTTAATTTTGTCTGTATGTCTAAAACCTGTCTAACTACCTCTGGTCTCCACTGGCTCCATCCTGGTTGTTGTCTGGGGAGAAAGACCCAGGGATACTGCAGGCCTCGTCTGAGTCGTCCATCAGAGATGACTTATCAGTGTCAGAATACTCATTACTAAAGTCCATCGGCACCTCCATGTCTGTGCTTGGACTTAATATGTCTGAGACAGAGACAGATGGGAAAGAATTACCACGCAAACAGCATGAAGTGACAAACAATAATTACATGCTTGCAGAAGCAGAAGAAACAGTGCAAATATTTCAAATGCGTTAATAATGTCCATCATGTCAACACTGTTTCTCTCACACTCATTACCAAGAGTCTCCCCTAAGCAGTCATTTGGGACCTTGTATGCACATCGCTTGTGGCAGTTGAACTTGCAGTCTTTAAAAAGAAAAGAGAAAAAAAAGAGTCATAAAATCAAATATTAATAATTATATCAAATATAAATATTAGCAATATAGGTTTTGATTAAATTAATACACAATACACATATTTTAAATGAACCCCTTAGCATTCCAGTAAAATTAGCCTAAAACGCCTAAAAAGGCATACCCAAAGTAATTGCATGCTTTTCTTGAACCATCTGGAGTATATGCATGGTTTTGGTCTCTTTTGAAAGGTGACACTCTGAGGTTTGTTCCTAAACAGAAACTGTAAGTCTTACTGGTATTGAGTGATAGAACTTTGAACACACTGAAAAATGTTTTTTTTTGTTTACAGATTCCTGCAGATGACTATAGCTGGGAGCTATTAGCTGGAAAACACAATGGGATCACAGCATGAAGCCTGATTGTACCTGTTGTGCTGATTGAATCTTAATTAATAGTTTCTTAATGGTTTGCATCATTCGAATCAAACAAATCTCTGCTTTCCAAAGATATGTGACATGTTTATTTTTTATTTTTTTTTATTGAGTTGTTGTATGTCACAAAGTTAACCCTCAAAAACAAGCAGTGTACCACGGTCGTTATGGAATGCCAAAGCTGACTTAATTAGAAATAAATAAATAAATGCACAAAGAAATTTAAAAAAGCAAATATAAATAAATGAATATATAAATAAATATACAAAGAAAAGTAAAAAAAAAACAAAAATAAATAATTATTTATCATTTTATTTCCTTATTTATGTATTTTTTATTTTATTTATTTATACATTTATTTATTTATTTTATTTTCACATTTATGTATTTATTTACTTATGTATTTATTTCCACATTTATTTATTTATACATTTATTTCTTTTTACATTTGTTTATTTTCACATGTATTTATTTATACATTTCTTTGTCCGTAGGGTAATGAGAAGGGCGTGTTTTACCTCAGGAATAGCAATCGAGCCAGAGTAGGCGAGGGGTAAGCTTTGAGGCAATTGCTTTCTTATGCACGCTGTTTTTTTAGGTTTCACTTTCAACGCATACAACGCATGTTTCAAAGATTCGGGATAGAAGGAGGCTATAATGCATGTGTGTGTTTCACTAGCTCCGTTCCTTGTATGCGTTGAAAGTGAAACCTAAAAAACAGCGCGCATAAGAAAGCACGCTTTCGGGAGCTTCAGCAAATTCACGCGATCACAGATTGCACGCTTCCCAGCCTAAACAAACCCCCACTTGAAATTTAAATAAGATTTTGGCCATATTGCCCATCTAAATCATACATCCCACACTATCAACAGGCCATGTAGGCTACACTTCTTGCACTTCGTTTGGGCACCACAAGGTGTAACTGTGGTCTCAACGCTTACCCCTCGCCTACTCTGGCTCGATTGCTATTCCTGAGGTAAAACACGCCCTTCTCATTACCCTACGGACAAAGAAATGTAGAAAGAAAGAAATGCGAAAATATATCAATGTAAAAAGAAATAAATGTAGAAAAAAATAAATGTGGAAATAAAGAAATAAATACGTAAATAAATACATGTGAAAATAAATAAAAGTGGAAATAAATACATTTATAAATAAATAAAATAAAAAATAAATGTGGAAAAAATATTTAAAAAATTACATAAGGAAATACAATTATAAATAATTATTTATTTTTGCTATTTTACTTGTCTTTGTATATTTATTAATTTATTAATTTATATTTGCTTTTTTACATTTCTTTGTACATTTCTTTCTTTCTTTATTCATTTCTAATTATGGCAGGATTGGCATTCCATAGGTCGTAACAGTGGAAAGCTATCAAGTTCAATTAATATGTAGAATACTTATAAATAAGTTACCTAATGTCTATACAAAAAGTTACTTGTGCTGTGGATTTAAAATAATTTCAAATTAATATTGCATTATTAATGTTTGTCCTGTTGCTAGGATGATTTTCTGTATTACAAACTACACTACTGTTCAAAATCGTGTGGTCAGTAAGATTTTTTTTAATGTTTTTGAAAGTCTCTTTTGTATTTTATGCTCTTAAAAGTCTCTTATGCTCATCAAAGCTGCATTTATTTGATCAAAATAGAGTAAAAACAGTAATATTGTGAAATATTATTATGATTTAAAATCTGTTTTCTGTTTATATGTTTTAAAAAGTGTCATTAATATAAGAATGTAATGACATATATTATATTACTATATGTCATTACATTCTTATATATGTCATTATGCAGGTAAATGAGGAATTCACTAATACAACATGAACAAATCCCTTTCCTAGTTGTTTTTAATACTAATTTGTAAATCTGGATGGATTATTGAGCAGGATTGTCTGACCTTTGCACTGGAGTCCCTGGCGGAAGAGTCCTCTCAGCAGTCTCTTGCAGTACTGACACACGGTGGGACGCGTGTACGAGTGAACGGCGAATGTGTGCGGGACCTTCACTTTAGTCATGAGGATCTTGTCCAGGTGGACGGGCCGCCCGGTGTAAAAGCGCCTGGCCTCACTGGGGGTGCGGGGCTGGAGAAAGATCCGACATGGTGTTTACATGGCATGATATGATTGAATTAAACATTAATATTCCATTATGTAAAAGTTAATTGAAAAATCTATGTATATTATTACAAAATTTAGTTAATTAAAATTTGATGGTAATGCTTTATAATAAGTTTCATTAGTTAACATTAATGAATGCATTATCTAATATTAACGAAATATGAGCAAAACATTTGTTACAGTATTTAGTAATCGTTGTTAATGGTAATAAATAAAAATACAACCTTTCAATGTTAGCTCAGTTCCATTAATTAAACTTAAAACATTTGATTGTAATAATGTATTAGTAAATGTAGCAATTAATATGAACTGATATGAATAAATGCTTTACAAGTATTTTTCATTGTTAGTTCATATATAATGAATATATATATATATATATTCACAAATCAATCTAATATGCTGATTTGGTTCTCAAATTTTTTTTTTTTAAGTTTGAAAACTTTATTCATAATGACTGCAGTAATGGCTGCTGAAAATTCAGCTTTGCCATGTAATAATATTTCACAATTTTGCTGTTTCTACTGTATTTTTGATCAAATAAATTCAGCCTTTGCTAAGCATTTCTTAGCACTTCTTTAAAAATAAAAAAAATTAAAAAAAATGATTCCATAATTACTCCAAACTTTTGACTGTCAGTATACATATACATAAAAATGTAAATTCTAAAAATATGTACAATTCGAGATGTACAATTTTACTTGTATTCATTTAGCACATTTCTTATTTTACAGCTGTTTTTTACTCAAGAACACATAGTATTTTTCTTGATTCGCAAATGTTTAAAACATGGAATTGAATGTGTGCTGTACCATCTGGGTGTGCGATCGGATGAGACTGGCTTCTTCAGATGTCACACTGCTGTTGAGACTACTGAGGGACTCTGCAGTGGACAGACGCAGAGACTGACTGCTGGTGAGGGACGTGGTGGACAAACGCCGCTTCCTCGCCCCGCTGCAGTTATTGGGAATACTAAAAGCACAGCGTTTGTGGTAATTCAGTCCACAGCCTGCAGGGGGAGACAGTAAGAGGGCAAAAAAATTGCACACTGTGGACATTTATCACACTTATGTCCAAACATTTCTTTAAATGGAGCTAGTTGGGTCATGGAAAATATATGAAGTTGCATGACAGCGCACAACAAGTCTAGCTATGATTGAATGAAACCAAGTCCAGCATGAAGAATACAAATTGTGAAAGACAGAGTCCCCACCATCACATTTGAGTCCTTGACGCACCAGGCCGAAAAGCATCTCGCCGCAGTGATCGCAGAACGCCGGCGCACGATACGAGTGCACGTTTAACGCGTGAGGCCGAATCTGGAAGTCCTCGGATGTAGCAGCAGCTGCAGAACACAGAACAAAATCACAAAAAGGACACATCAGTGCTAACTGCTCCATTGTCATTCAAACCCTCTTTAGGGTTTCTGCAAGTTTTATGAAGGTAAATTTAAGACATTTCAATACATTTCAAGACCACGTAAATACAATTTGAGTAACAAATTGAAGGAAACACAATACGCCAATATGGTCCCTAAATCTACAGTAAATGAATACGGAGAAAACAATGAGTTGTATTTGCAGCATTTTAAAGTTTGAAAATACAATTTCCAGCAGATGTCTGTTATTTTTTAATTAATAAAAAAAAATGCTTAAAGGGGTCATATGATGCTATTTTAAACATCATTATTTTGTGTATTTGGTGTAACCGAATATGTTGACATGCTTTAATGTTCAAAAAACACATTATTTTTCAAATACTGTACGTTATTGTAGGTCCTCTATGCCCCGCCTCTCTCAAAAACGTCGTTTTCAAAAAAATCTCTATCAAATCTCAACATGCTCTCAAAAAACTTCTGTGCTGATCTCATTAGATCTTCCACTTTGGCTCTCAGACATCAGGCTGGGGCTTTGTGAGTTTATCCATTAGATAAAATGAACCGAAAGGGACGTTGATATGATCTAGGTCACATCCTTTCAGTTCAGTAATGTGACTTCTTGTTAAAAGCTATTGTTCAGATTTTGGTTATTGACATTATAGCCATTTTAACATTATATAAAAAAGTGTGTTAACCTCCAGGAAATTACTTTGTGTCTGTACTATACTGTACTGTTGATTCATATCACTTCAGTACTTCATTGTGATTTTAAAGTCGATACAAGAATGCAAACCCTGTAGATTTATGTTCCAGCGCTTTTTTTGAAGATCCCTGTGTTACTCTCTATGGGTTAAAAAAAAAACTGAATCTGAATCTGGTCAAATTTCATTTTAAAATAAAAATGCTGTATTCAGCATAAATTAATTTTTTTTTTGGAAATTAACATTATCCCCAGATGCATTTACTAATTCTCATTATTACAACGATGTTTTAGTATTATTTATATCATATTATAGCATTTATTAATATTTTGAAATATCTTTCTAGTTTCAGTTTATTTTAATTTTAGTTAAAGTTTTAGTCATTTTATTTTGTGCTTTTGTCATTTTAAAATATTGTAACATTTTTTTATATAATTGTTTTATATTCATATTTTATTTAGCTTTGATTTATATTTATTTCAGTTTTGGTCAGTCATTTTGGTACTTCATCCCAAACTTATTTTATTTCATCTTGTTGTCAAGGCATTTCTAATTTTTCATCTAAGATTTATATTTTATTTTATTTCAGTAAATTCAATTATTGTTATTATTAAATACTCTTTACATTCTAAAGATTATGCAACATGTTCTACAATGTATGATTGCATTGTATACAAAGAGATGTATTCAAATTGCTGGAATGTGAAATGAGGGGGGAGAATAGGAAAAAAAAATTTTATCCTCAGGCCAGTGGTTGCTGTCATTCATGTCAGCAGAAATCATCATATCTTAATATTGAATGAATTCTAGCTTTGTTGCTGAGAGTTTAAACTATACTAATCGACCTACCCGACAAAACAACTTCCACCAGGTCCCCTTCCTGGATGTCCGACACAGCCTTGACCAGCTGCAGGATGTTACTGCTGTTGGTGTCATGCTTGAAGAGGAGGATCTTGTCATAGATCCCATAAAAGCCACATTCAGGAAACTGGACAAAACAAAGAAAGAAAGAAACATCGATTAGCTTCATTTATAACCCATCTATACATATCCACTATACACTCTGCTAATGTAATATTTCTCTTTTCCTGTTGTTAACAACTTTCACCGCATTACAGCACCTCATCAGAACCACAACATCCTTAGATTTTTGGCTCATGAACAAACATGGATAATCCAACTTTGAGATGAGCTACTAAGATTGGTGGTCATCATGTTAATGAAGAGCCATCTGTAAGGGTTCCTGATGGTGGCACTTTTGCAGGTGTACCCACCAGGGATCTCCTCTCTTATTTGTGCAAGTGATGCACGTCAAGGTGGGGCGGGGGTGTTCTTTGCTTCTGCCAGCTGCATTTTGAAGATTTCCTGTTGTTGCAGAGAAGAGCTTTTAATTTTCGTAGCTCTGATGTGTCGAGAGCTGCCATAAGACTTTTGAGCGGATTTAGAGGTTTTATGTTGTTTGTGTTGTTTTAGGATATCAAACTTTTGAAATTAAAAAGTTCAAAACAATTTGTAAACATAACACAAGTTACATAACGAGAAACTTCTCTTATGTCCAAAACAATCATTTATTGAAATGAATGATGCTGGAAAAAATGGTTAGGTATGATTTTTTTTGGGGGGGGGACTTTTTAATGTCAGATTAATGCACACGGCAGCCCAAATTTATGCCAACAATGCCTATTCAGTGTTCATAAACTTGTGTCGCTCAGTCAGTCATGTTGAAGTAATAAGGAGGCAGTAGGATAGATACTATTATTCATAAACATGAGAAGTAGTAGATCTTATTCCAGTAAGTATATAACTAACAATAACAAATATAGGTAAGCTTTGCCAAAGTTATGTTTTGCCATTACCTTTGCCATTAAACATTTTACTGATTTTGTCCAGAAACAAAGATTCTGTCATCATTTACTTACACTCTTGTTGTTTCAGACCTGTGTGAGTGACTTTCTTCTGAGGAACACAAAATAAGTTATTTTGAAAAACTAAACTTTTTTAGTCCATACAATGAATATCAAAGGGGTTCAATGTTGTTTGGACCCCAGTGACTTTCAAATGATCTTCTTATGTTCCACAGAAGAAAGAAACTCATACATGGTTAAATGGTTCCGGTGCCTAAACGGTGCCTGAACCGATACTTATTAAAAAATGAATAAATAAAAATTCCCCAAAAAATGATGAATTGGCCATTAGCACTATAAACACATGATGTCTGTTTCATACATACTGGATGCCAGAGGGCGCCCTCGCACAGAAAATCCACATATCCAGTCATGGAAGTAGCGAAACTCAGGAAATCCCTTATATGGACAAAGGCACTGCTATTATAGCTGTAAGTTAACTGAGTAAACAGAACATATAAACTGCCTCATTCTGTGACATGAAGCCACATCAGATCACAAAAGGAAGCATTTGACTGGTGTTGTGGAGTAAAAAGGTTATAATGTTCTCTTTTGTTGGACAACAGATTTAGAAATGTGAATACAAGGGAGGTTTAGCTTTAGGCATTTTAATTTAAGCATGTTTAGCTTAGTTAACGGAAGGCTACCTGCTGCCATCAGAGCAAGTGTAATTACTGCATTCACGTGCTCCTCGAATGCTCTCATTTCCCGAGTTGTGCTTTTAAGGCGGAATGTGAAAACAACATGGACACTCGCGTTACTACAAAGATTTGTTGGATTTGTATTATTAGAGATTTTCGACTTGAGTTCACATGCATTTTCTCAGTCGGGAAATTATTTTTCACGTGCGGTGCCGGTGATGATGCTTCTTACGTCCGTTTCGGAGAACCAGAGGACAAATATTTCAATCGATAGCTCAGGCATGGCACCGAAATCTGTGTTCGGATTCGGTGCCAATGCCATATTGGTACCGGGTTTCGGTATCCAACCCTAGGGGTCAATTGAATCTTTAACTGTGCTTCAAAATGGAGAAGACGTGGCCTAATGGTTAGAGAGTCGGATTCGTAACCCAAAGGTTGCGAGTTTGAGTCTCAGGTCCGGCAGGAATTGCAGGTGGGGGGAGTGAATGTACAGCCCTCTCTTCCACCTTCAATACCACGACTGAGGTGTCCTTGAGCAAGGCACTGAACCCCCAACTGCTCCCTGGGCGCCGCAGCATAAATGGCTGCCCACTGCTCTGGGTGTGTGTGTGTTCACTGCTGTGTGCGTGCACTTAGGATGGGATTAAAGCAGATAACTAATTCCTAGTATGGGTAACCATACTAGTCACTTTAAAAAAATGTGTTTTGTTTTGTGTCACAGTGTGTTCAGGCTTAGCAAAGAGGCTGATATTGAAGAACGGTTTTCTACAAACTTGAGTGAATCCAACAGATAGCTCATAGCCCATGAGTAAAACTTTGCATCTCATTTTACATTCAAAGACAAAGTTTTACTTTGAGACTTTATTGGTACATTAGCAAAAAACAGCCTAAGGGTCAACAAGAGGGTGGAAATGGTCGTGTAATATTACATTATCACTGCAACAAAACTTTGATAAACATTACCATTGGCCCCTTAAGAGAAATAAAATGATAAAAAAAATCTGTGATCCCTTTAAGAACTTTAGATTGTGGCCTGGTGCATTTTTAAAACCATATGGTGAAGTTAAACCAATAAAAATCATTTACATCCAACGCCTTTTAAACACAAGGCATGTAGAGCAGAAGAAGACATAATATTACATTATCACTGCAACAAAACTTTGATAAACATTACCATTGGCCCCTTAAGAGAAATAAAATGATAAAAAAATCCGTGATCCCTTTAAGAACTTTAGATTGTGGCCTGGTGCATTTTTAAAACCATATGGTGAAGTTAAACCAATAAAAATCATTTACATCCAACGCCTTTTAAACACAAGGCATGTAGAGCAGAAGAAGACGCAACAGAGCAGCTCTCTGATGAAGATCTTGCAGGGGGATTTCGACACAGTATCGCTCAGAACCTATTTGTGCTAATTAGCATGAGAGCTGGTGTGGTGGATTTGGTTGGTTGCCTTTCATTTCGAGCTGACAGCTGTGACCATGATGTGATATAAACCTGAGAGCCAGTCGGGTGTGATACCCGAGCACTTCTGCATTACAGTCGTCGTCTGCCAATCATTGTAGAGCGAAATCCCACTTGGCACCGAGCAACTACCTGGCATGAGAAGATTAGCTACCTGAACAAGCCAACTTGGATCGAGTTTTAAATGAGAAAGCTGGGCACAGTCAATAGCATGACAAAGGTGCAGTGTTACATATAAGGGATGACAGAACAACAAGGATGAAAAAAGATATAGCCGCCCCATACAAAGTAGTCTGGTATGTATAGGCTTGATAATCTCAGTCAAATGCATAGGGACTTATCAGTGAAGAAGATCTCCTTAATACTTTATAATGTGCCATTCAACGCATGTCATACAAATCAGTGAGCCAGAAGCCATCACAACCAGCATACCAAACCAGACTCTTGCTGAAGGCCCCTCGTCTTGTGTCAATGTGGGTGTGCAACACTGGCACTGGAGAAAGTCAGTTGGATTTTTTCACTACAGAACATGGAATCATGGCTGATATAATAGCACACCGAAAAGAGCATTCATGTGTAAAGAATCCTGTAAATAAGTAAAACTAGGTTTAAGGTTCAACCAGAATGGTACGCTGGTCTCACATCCAAGTACAAGGTAGAATTTGGAGGGATTTTCCAAAAAAATAAACTGATATGACGTAGTTTTGAACAAAATAAACTTCAAAGCAAGTTCGTTTAGACCAGGGGTGTCGAATTCAGTTCCTGGAGGGCCACTGTCCTGTAGTGTTACCCTAATTAAACACACCTTAACTAATGTAATCAAGGTTTTCAGACTCACTAGAAGCTTCCAGGCAAGTGTGTTGGAGCTGGTTGGAGATAAACTCTGCATGACAGTGGCCTTCCACGACTGGAATTTGACACATGTGGTTTTGAGCAGGGATCTCCAACCCTGCTCCTGGAGAGCTACCATCATGTAGACTTTAGTTCCAACACACCTGCCTGTAAGCTTCTAGTGAGTCTGAAGACCTTGATTACATTGGTTCAGGTGTGTTTAATTGAGGTTGGTGCTGAAATCTGCAGGACAGCAGCTCTCCACAAGCATGGTCGGAGACCCCTGCGTTATAGTTTGTTTCTGGAGTTCAAACAGCTTGGTAAATAAGACTTTAGAAAAGTTTGCTCCGGCTAGTAAACACCTTCAAACTACCATTGGTCCATGGTAAATACTTAATAGTTAGGTGTGCTCTGGGGCTCATCTTCTTTGATATGTAAAGGCTCCAATATACTTAAAGTGAAATCAAAGAACAAAAGTGTGTGATGTAATTTCAAACAAACTTATGCCAAAATTAAGTTTGTTTGCCATTCATTTTGGTAGTTCGAACCCACTTGCAAACTTTCCGGAAAACTTTGCTTCGGCAGGTAAATACATTTGAACTAACTTTGAGCCATGGCAGTTATGCTATGGGTCCATACTAGGTACTTAATACTGTAGGTTTGGTTCTGTGGCTCCACAATCCTTGATGTGGATATCTTCTCCAGTACATTTTTTATGTTCAGTCCATCAAAGTCAGATGCGAGTAAATATGTGAACACACAGGAAAGCTGCTTTATAGTAGAAATTGAAGTTGTAATTCTAATTGAAAGCAACACTGAGACTTTTTTTCATGTTTAATATTATAAAGCTGCTTGTTTTAAAGCAATCTATTGTATAAAGTGCTATATAAATAAATGTGACGTGACTTGACCGGAGCGCAGAGTTGCATATATCAGGGCCTTAATGAAGGATGCACAGTCCGGCGGGGGATCATGTTGACGATGTGATATGAGCATGGAAAACCATTTACAGTGCAAGAGCGAGGAGTGTGAGAACACAAAACCCAGACATGACATCAGAGAGCTCCAAAGCTCCCCGCAGTTGCAGAAGACAGGAAGAGACAAACTGAGACAAAAGGAAAGAGAAAGAATATAGAGAATTACTACACTCCATACCCAAAACAACACCTTTCCACCCAGTTCCTGTTTT